ATTTCAAAAATACTAAACATAACTTGTTTATATGAAAAAACATATATTTTTTTTTTTTTTAATTTCACTCTTTGCAATTAACACTGATTTAAGTGTAACACGTAAATATATACATAATAATGCAATTTATAAATATAAATGTTGAAGAAAATACAACCTTGAAATTTCCAAATAACTGAACATTTTGTAAACAATCTTAGATCTTAAAATATTATTATTAGGGCTCGGACGTTTATGTGATATTAAACCTATAAAAATGCCTTTAAAAAAAAGACATTTATAACCTAAAAAACAGAAAAAAATCTCCAAAAATATTAAGAATTCCCTAGTAAATTGTTTGTTATTATTTTCACCGTTAACGATATACTATGATTTATATCATACTACGTTATGTACTTGTATAGTTACATGATTAAACTTTATATTATGTATTATCAACTTTGTGGAAATAAAAAAATTAATAGTGAAAAATAATACACTTGAGTTTTTTTGTTTTCAATTTAATTTAAATAAATAATTAAAAAATAATAAAAACTACACTAAAATTTCAATAAATTACCTAAAACGAAAAAAATACAAAACAAAAATTAGTTATATAGATGCGTATGTTATCAAAATATATTTTAAGGTAGAAAAACATCGTCCATTTATTTCCAAAACAAAGATTCAAAAGTCATCAATATACGGGTTCTAATAACTATGGCAATTGAAGAACTAAAAATAGTATAATATATTTAATGTATGATAAGATCCACGATAACAACGAAAATATGGTTGATCTTATATTTAATTGATATTTTAAGAAAAACCAACAGTTCACCAATAATTTATAGTATATGAAAAATGTATACAAACGTTTAAAACAATTATTAAATTTATTTTAAGTTTATAAAAATACACAAAACAGCCAGTAGTCTGAAGATTAGGTACAGAGTGATTTATATATTTACATAAATGTTTCGAGGGATTTTACTACAAACATTTATCTTGTGTAATAAAAATAAAAGAAGAAAATTGTAGAAATATACATGAACATCCGTTTAGTTCTAAGTTTTAACTGATTATTTTGTTGGCATATTAAAAAAAATATATATTATTATACTTCACATAATAAGTCTAATTTTAATTTGTAAATCAATATTAAGCGATTGTATAGGTATGTATTACTTTATAACTTATTGCTTAATTAAGTATATTTTCAATGTTTATGAATATAAAAATACATGTTTATATAATACCCGTGTGTATTTTCTTTAAAATAAACTAGTTGAAACTTCCAGTTCAAGTTCATTAAATTGAACTTAGACACCATTAAATTAATCAAATCAACTATGCGTAATAGATAAAAATACAATTCATAAAATTACGTAAATTGAATTATAACTATAATTCAGCCAACAGCGTAGTAGATTTTTATCACATATTGTTAGTTCTGTACATTTCTACATTTCTCTGATAATAATTAAATAATTATTAAAATAACTCCTTATATAAATAATCAGTCAGGTATATACGGGTCACGTAAAAATAACATTACCTTATCTTATTCCTATCTTAATTCTTATAACAAACTAAAAATTAATGAAAATACGTAAATCTATCCACAGGAACGTTTTGTCGTTTTTTCGATAAAAATAAATGTAGTGCACTTCTCAGACAAAAATGATGATAATCATTTTATTTTTGACATTCAAAGAATTAACTATATAAAATTACCTACAAGAAATGAAACAAACTATCATCAACGTTGAAAATAATAACATTTTCCTGGTCCAAAAAGTATTACCGAAAACGATCAAAACACCAACTACGTCAATGTTGTACATTTCTTACTCTATTCAAATTTCAAAGTACTTAGTATAGGTATATATGTATATATATATATAATGACAAAATCCGTAAATAATTTTAAAATGCTTAAAGAGCAAAAAATGATTTAACAAATCATTTGAAAATTTACTTATATGACAAAATAAAACATGGAACATTAGTAAAATATTTATAGTTGATTGTCTTATGCTATTCAAAATAATTTATTTATATTTATATTTATATTTAAATTATGATTTTTATTTTTACTGTAATCATGAATGCGTGAATGTTACTTTCCGTTCCTTTATCACATTGTTTAATTTTGATCTACATTTAAAAAACAATATACGTTTCACACTGACAATCAAATAAATAAATCTATTTTACCTACCGTTATCAAAAAGGCTCAAATAAGTGGTGAACGAAAAATATGTATTTAATGTTTAAATATCAAACATTTCATTTATTTTAATAGTTGAAATCAATAATTAAAATTAAATTAAATTTTTTAATAATTCACAATGAGTGTATCCAAGTAATATTAAATATGTTAAATATCCGAGAACGATAGTATTAATTTTATATTAAATATAATTTTTTTTATGTTATACATATATACAGTTTGGTTATGATATTTTTTAAGAAATTTAATAAAATAACTTCCTAAACAATATTGAATAGATAGCATTGTAAATCATTGATCATTTATCATGATAATGATTATCAATTAACACGTTGTACAATAACTATATACTATCTATAGCTACTGATGACCAAAATTGCATAACTATTTAAATTAATAGAAAAATTATTTCATTATACACTACTGACACAACTAAGTATCATTATTTATTTGATAAAACAAACGGCGTATAATATTTCAAAAGATTCAATCGATTATTATATTGTATATTGGTATCATTTCAAACTAAAAACATATAGATGCTTGGTTTCATTTGATGTTATTATATTTTCTATAGAATTGCCATAATTTATGATATTATTATATGTATTTGATTTTTTTACTCAAATTAGTAAATTCGAGAATGTTTAAAATGAAATAAAAGGTTGTAAGTTTAAACCGATGATTTATGAGACAACAGTTGTTAACTATTTTAATCATCAAGAATTATTATAAATGCTTTAATTTGTTTTTTAAAGATGTTCAAACAAAATTTGTTTGTATTAATTTCTGAAATTTATTTTTTATGTAGAGTAATTTTTTACCAAAAACCACGCATTTTTTTCAAAATCTAATAGTTTAAAAAAAAAAAAAATTATTACATTATTTTCAATGAAAATAAAACAATATTTTTTAAACAAATTATATTTTCAATATTTTTAATCGTTATAATTTTTTCTAAGTGTTTTACTTTTTTGTTTGACAGTGTAGATTTGTAATTTCATATTTTAAAACAGAATATTCGATAGACAAAAATTGAAATATGAACCAGCAGTTTATATGTATATTTTAAAGTTTAGGTAAGTGGAATAATAGATCAAAATTTTTTGGAGTACTATATCTCCATACCTTTCTATTTCGTTCACTTAAACTTTAATACTTATAACTCATAAACCATTAGAATGAATTTTGATTTGTATGTTTCAAAATAATAAAAAAAATAAATAAAAAAATAAAAAAAATAGCGTACTTCAGAATATGAAATTTAAAAAAAATTGTGTATAATTTATATATATAAAAAAAAATAATAAAATAATAGATTTACAAATAATGAGCATTGTTTGATAAAATATACACTCTATATATATAATTTATGTAGCAAAAAACTCTCAGATTGTATAATTATCTATTTCATTCTTGAAAAATATTACGTCAAAAAGGACACTTTAAACTGAAAATATTATTTCTTAAAAAAATAAAACGGCTTTTAAATAAAAAAAAAAAAAAAAACTAAGACAATAATCAGCTACTTGAAAAAAAAACTCAAGCATTAGCTTATTCCAAATTTTACTCAACCAATCACATCAGATCAAAACTATAACCATAAATAATATATTTCTATTGTCACCACTTTAAATACGTAAATTTCCGCTATAAACCATGCACATCATACTCCATCTTTAGCCATAACAGTGATAATTCAAATATATTAATGATTTAAAAATAATTGCTATTCCAGTATTGTTTTTCTTACATCTATATCTAACGCACATTAACTATTCGTACTTACGATGTCTAAAAATTAACACTTGTACATTCATTTTTTCCCCACTGAAATGTATTTAATTATAAGCAAAATTTAAAAATGTTTTTATTCTATTACTCAAAAACTATATTATAAGTTTTGAATTTAATTATTTGTATGATTAAAATTAAAACCATTGTCTTAGATTCAAAAATGTAATCAATTTTAAATTTGTATGGAAGTAAAATTATATGTACTGTATCATAATCAAACATAATTTCCAATATTTTCATCACTTACATACAAATATTTAAACGATGTGACCAATATTAATTGTAGATTTAAACTTTAAAATCAATAAATTATTGTTTATACATAAATACGAGTAGTAAAATAATTCTAACCGCTTTAATTAAATCTCAAGTTGTAATAAAAAAATCATAATTACTATTTCTCTAAAATAAAGCTTTTCAATAAAAAAAAAAAAAAATATAATTTTATTGACATTATTTATTAGGAATTCACATTTTTTCAAATTTCGTTAAAGATCAAAGCTTATAATTATCACTTTTATTGATTTTAAAATATTATCATATCCTTACTCATATTTGTATTTCATGTATTTTATTGAATACATTTTTATATAATCTCAAAATAATAAGTATATTTATGATATATACTTTTCAACAAACTATCGTTAATTTTTCCGTATAACTATACATATGTATGAATATATTTCATTTATAATACGTTTATTGACATTTTTACATGGTAGAGTTAACTATTGTATTTAAACGAACGCAAATATAAATAAGATTTATTTAATGAATTACTTAAATAAGAAAAAAATATCTTTACCAATTGAGTAGTTCACTTTGGTTAAAGAATAGTCCACGTTTTATTAACAATCAAATGGTTTTGTTTTCATACGTCAATATAATTAATAATTAATGCATTGCGTTATGTATTTTAATTATCAATTGAAATATTTCAAGGAATTTATAACTAATTTAAAACTGTGCATTGTTTATTAGTACTTACCCTGAACACGTTCTTATGTTGAAACTATATTTGATTATTTTTCCATACGATAAAAATTAAAATTAAAATAAATAACCACAAAAATGCACAAGCACAAAACGATTTCACAAATCCGTCTGAGAGTTATATTAATAATATTAATGATAATATTGAAAACAGAGGAGGATTAGTTATATTATTTATTGTGTTAAAACACTCAGCTCCGTCAAAATTATTTTATTCGAAGAAAAATGCAGTAGGTACATAAAAAAAAAATCGTTTATGTATGTATTATGTACGTTTGTTAATAATTCGATGAACACGATCACGAAAAACAGCGCACAAAGTGGTGCTGACTGGCGAGGACCTGGCGAAAAATTCAACTACAGGGGTGGAAACCGGCGCGAATACTCAACCCCTCATTCAGCGGCTTTACGGCGAACAGTAGCCGTTTGCCGCCAGGCTTCGCTATATCAACGCTGTTAGGGCTGTACCCAAGACCTGTAATATTATTGGCATAGACAGCTCGATGTTTGTCTGTCTTACCGTAATATTCTAACCAAGATAAGATTGTCCATAGAAAATAACAAAACGGCATGTCGGTTTTGTGAACCGGCCAGCTCAATAAGTTATGAAACAGATTTTAGATGAATTTTTGGATTTGAAATTAATATGTGAATTGATGTGGATTATTACTTTAAATTTTTATCAAATTAATTTAACTCATATAGATAAATAAGGAAATTAATATATAATAAATAATATTATCTTCTAAGATAAATATAAAATGTAAGAATGTTTTTTCTATCATTGTATCGAATTTGGTTCAATTTATTGATAAAAGTATATCATATTATAATACGTGCTTTTTTTAAAATATTAATTATTATTAGTTTTTAGATAGATACATTATTTTTGAAAATAAATGTTGAAATTTATATGACAATTACAAACAATATTGTAGTCTTTATAGTAGTGATATTGTGTTAGTAAATTTAAAAAAAAGTATGGCTTACTGTTTAACATTTCCTGTTTAAAACTAAGAAATAAAGTATAATAAAAATATACGCAAGTACAATTAATGTACATATCTTTTTTCTCAGAATTAAAAATAAAAAGAAAATACCTAGATTAATTAATTCAATTTTTAACAAGATAAACTATAAAGTTTTAATATTTTCTGCATCTAGATATTTTTTTGATAATATATATTAAAAGATTGAGAGATAGAAAAAATTAGTCAATAGTGTTCTAACATGTATGGCTAATAAATAATAAGTAATAACATACTACCATTTTCAAAGCATCAAAAAAAGTTAATTGCAATCGAAATAGTTGTAGCACTTAGCGACAATATTTCTAATTTCCAAAAGTATTTATTTTATTATATATGTGAATTTAAAAATATTAACTATTGAAAAATTTAAAAACAACAGTATATATACACAAATTATAAATACAAATGTTTTAAAAACTGTTTGTTATTAGTATTCAAAGAGTAATTTACTGGATGTTTATACTGTAATCATTTTTTAAATGTAAATCAATTGTTAACATGTTAAACTCATCACTGGTAATTTTTAATAATTTTGAAGAGCGTCTTATTTAATAAAAAAATGTTTAATTTTTATACACCATTTTTTTTAAAAGATGAAATTTTTTTTTAAGTTACACAATTTAAAAAAGTTTTATTAGTGATAAACAATATAAAACTAGTTATCTACTTTCGTAATTAATAATTTTTAATAGTTAAACAATTGCTTATAATACGTATGTATTATTCAATAGTTTTATAGTTTTATTCATAATTTGTGCATTCAATCTCAACGTAAAAGATATAAATATATATTCATATTATATAATGTTATTTATATAATAATTTAGAATACCTACATTTATTATACTATTATAGGTACCTGTAATATAACATAGTTTTTTGTGTTTTTTTATTGCTTAAGATTTTTTTTTTTTTTTTTTGTATTACAATAATATTATGTAACTATAAAATATATTACATATTTAATCAAATGTCACTAACATAAAAACTGAAATTGATTTATGAAGGCGTATGCTTTAAGTCATAAATAAATAAGAGAAACAAAATTGGGTCCAAAATCGATCTCATGGGAACACTATAGTCACTACTAAGTATACCGCTGAATCGCGACCTAAACACATTTAGTCGACGATGTGCTTACCAATATATTATTTCAGTTATTGCACACAAACTGTCGTTGAAATGTGTATAGAACAATCAATTATTGTTCAAAATTTTGAAGTTTAAGTTAAATTAGAAAATTTGTAAATATATTTTTAACCAGGTACCGGAACAATGTAAATAAGCCTAATACAATAAATTTTTCTAATTAAATATTTTTTGATAACATTACAATAGATATACAGTTTCATGCAATCATAGAGAGAAAAAATATTTTTCATAATATGATAGTGCAATATAAATTATTTATCGTCAGAAATTGAATATTAATCTTAAAATTTTCATTCGAATAAGGTTAATTTTTGTTAGACAGAAACAAAACATTTTTAATCATAAATAACTATTTTTAAAAATTGAATCTTTTTAATACATCAAGTTTTATGATTGTATGAAGTTCAATTTTTTATGAAATTGAATATTTATCTGTATAACAATTATTTCTTCTCAAATGATCTTTGTTTTTAATTTTAATTAAAAAACTAATAACTGTAGTAAGTTCAAATTTGTAAGAAAGTTTATTTTTGCATTTTTTCATACGTAGTATAGTTTTCTAAATATTTTGACTTTATCTGAGCTATTTATAGAAATTTTTAATTTAAATTTTTTTAAATTTTATTTCTATTAATAATAAGAAAAAAATATTCATTGGGTCAAAATTCTTGAAAATTTAATAAAAGATTCAATTTATTAAAATTTTATAAAGTTCATTAATATTATAAAAATAATAAACTGCATGTATTTTATTGCAAGGCATTTATAAAATTTTCAATAATAATTATAGCTTAGTTTTAGAAAATTAATACAATGATCTTTATATAAGTAGTTTATATTATAATTAAAAATATTAAAAAAATATATTATCACAGTTATTTTTATTGATATTCAAAGTTCTAATTTGGGGGAAAATATATTTAAATGACAAATAATAATGTTAATTATTTTGTTATAATTCAAAAACATAATTAGTGGAAACTGAAAAATCTTACGTATTTCAATTTTACTATAATCAATGACATTTTTACAATATGTAAATTAATATTAAGATATTAGTTATTTATAGTATGAAACTGCTTTAAACTACTAGTAAACATGTTACTATAATTAAATATTTATAATAAATTTTAATTAATCTTAAGGTTTTGGCATTAAATCAATTTACAATAGTACTAATACTGAAATCAGTTACTTTATTATGAATATCATAAAAAAGTGTGCTTGTGACATAAGCTAACAAATTGCTTTCGTTCAAAATCTTGTTTTGTATACGATGATATATAATTTAATACAAATTTAACACTTCTTCTACAGTTACCCACTCAACACCTAACATATAATATTGCAGTACATTTACTTGTTTTTTATTGTTATTTTTCTTATCAAATTTATAATATCAATATGTGTAATATTTTATTATATATTTTATAGAAAATCTTTATTTTTATAAGAAATATGATTAATTAATTATATTAAATAACTAAAACAGGGATATAGGATTATAATATACATAATAATTATATGTGCAATTCGATAGTCGATGATTTATTCTGTAATACTGTGTCCCAATGTAATCTAACTTGCATTTATAAGGAATGTATATTTTTATTGTATTTAATTAATGTTATAGTAATGTTTAAAATAATGTACATGAATATGAATAATAGTAGGAAATGTATTAAACAATACTATATTGTTTATTACAATGCATATTCATTAATAATGTATAATATCTAAAAAATAAACAATTATTCAATGTTAATTTATTATAAATTTCTTCAAACTATTTATAAATTTTGAAATTTAGCTTTATTTTTCCACTGCATTTTGTTGAACGAGTAAATATTTGGCATGGTGTATTTTAGCTTTTTGTTTACTGGACGCTAACCGGCTTGGTAAGTTGGTATGTCCTTGAGTTGAAATGGGCACGTAGACGTTTTCTTGGAAACAAACCAATGGTACAATTGTCTAATTGGCTCAAAAAAAGATACAATTACCGATCGAATTGTTGAAATCATAATTCATAGAGACAAGTATATTAAAAACGAAAAAAATATATTCATTATTTAATTTTATAAACTTCATTGAGGGTCATAGTTAAAGTTACAAGATAAAAAGTACAACTAAATGTTATACAATAGTTGAGAAAAAAAATAGTTTTACTAATCGCTTCCATCAAGTAATGAATATAATATAAAATATTATTTGCCAACAATTCTAAAAATATGTATGTTTATCATTCTATATGATATATTTTAATAATAATATGCATTGCTTTGAACTAAACTGATGTTTATTATTTAAAAAAAAAAATATATATATATATATATATATTAGATGTATCTACCTTTTTCACAATCAACACATCATACTAACTATATAAAATTATAAAAATCCTAGGATTTATAGAAAATATAATATTTTTAGGAAAAAGTGAATGAAATAAAAACATGTATAGGTAGATATTATGAACAAAATGTAAGCACAAAGTATATTGTGTTTTTGTACAAAAATAAAACTATTTATACATATTATTATGGATGTATCTACTATAATATAATTATATTTGTATAATTAAAATAATAATGCTAACGTTTTCGTATTATTCAGGCTATTGATTTATAGCATATAATTTTATTTTACAATATATTTTTAACGCAATTAATTAAAAATAATAATAATAGTTATAATATATGATCTTATACTTATTGAATATTTCTACTAAAAACAACGTGGATTAGTTTAAATTTTAACTAATAATATCATCTAACAAAAATTCGTTTGCAAAAAAAGAGATATTCGTTTATAATTTAGTTTTAATTAAGACCGCTATAATTAAAATTGTAATTGTAACTTTTAGTTTTGTGAAAATATTGTCAAGATTTGACAAATATGGTACTTGTTTAATAAATCCTTACTACTATTTTCATGAAAACTGCTTGTAAATAAAATAAAATTAATATCCTCTCAGTTGTACAATTTATTCATACTCATTTTAAAATCT